AGAATTATGGGTGAACAGTAACATTTTGGGCTCAGGTCTACATCAGTGTCTCAGAAGACTCACAAAAATGAAAGGCTGTGAAAAAAGTGTAAAGGAAGCTCAAGATAGACATAAACACGTACAGGGAGGCATTGCTGTGTCCTCCCCCCCACCCCTTCAAAATTACAGCCTTATTCACTTAGAGAACCTTTTTGCAATCAGAGCAGCAGAACAATAGTGCAGAGATGCTGCTCTGACATTTTCCAAGGTTGTCCCTTTGAACCTCAGCATATTGGCTTGCTTGCATGCTGGGTCCAGAGTGTGCCACATTCACGGGAGCCAAATCCAGGAGAGAGCAAGCCTGCCAGCAAGAGAGAGGTATGCGAGGAGAGGCTCAAACAATCCTCCCAAAGGATCTCGGGATAACGGGGGGGGAAGGGTCTTGTTTGCCTGGAATCCAGAGCGCTTCACAGAGGATGTGAATCTAAAACATGCAGCGTTGCTGTTGACAGGAGTGTATATAAACAGAGCAGTATTTTCCCCGCTCCCTCCCCCTTCTTATTATAGCACAAAATACCCTGAGTAAAATAGATACACACAGCAATCCACTATAAAAGCAAAACAGAGCCCCAAGTGTGTGCACACACGCAAACACACAAAGATATTCTTCTGGAGAATGCAGCATACTTTCAATACCTTAAATGTCACTTTTTAAATATTAATGCTGTGCTTCTGGATAGGTTTATGTAAGGTTTATGACCACAGGATTGGTGGCACAAGAAAACCTAAACTAGACTCTCCCAGCCTGACACAGTCTGCCTGCCCAAGCCATCCAGAGGCCCAGCTCCTTCATCGCATCCTGGCTCCACTTGCCAGACCCTAAAGCCACGCACTGCAGCGGAGCCAGGGCAGATGCACTCCCACCAGCCTTTTTTTTCCTGGGAGGGGGCAGAAATGCAGCTCAGCTCCTTTCCTACCTCTCCCCAGTGCTTGCAGCTCACCATCTGGCACTGTCAGGAGGATCTCCGCTTGGAACCACAGTGCAGCCAGGCACAAACAAGAGCGGATGCCTCTCTCTGGCTAAACAATAACCTCATTAGCCGAGGCAGAACAGGGCAAAGGGAAGAGCACGAGGGCAAACAATGTGCAAATATCAGGGTACGTTTCAAATGCATACACACAAACCCAGTGCTAGGCTGCTGCGAAGGATGAGGGCGGCAGCTGGGGCAACCCAAGGGCCGATGCAGCCCATGTTCCCCTTGGCTAGGCCCATCTAACCTGCCCAGCAGCCTCCCCGGCTACCTCGATCAAGCCTCACTTGCTCTAGTAGGACTGTCTTGTTTTCAGGCTTCAGGTAGCCTGAGGACAGAACTACCTAGTCTCAGGCTTCCTGGGAACTTCTTCAGCCCATAGGCTGGACTCCCAATTGCCTTGTGGTACTAGATTTCAGAAACGATTATCTCCCAAAACAAGACGAGGACAGAGAAAGGCCAGACTTTGATGTGACGGGCCTGAGCTCCTCAGAGTTAAACCTGTCCAAAGACATTAGGAAAGGAGGGCTACATTTGATAGTTCCTCTTAGGTTGCTTTGTCATGCAGAGGAGGAGTATCCTAGGCTCTGAGAGGGGCCAAGAAGAAAAATCTCAAGGTCTGGCCCCTTTGCCAACCTAAGACAATTCCCCTTTTTCCCCACAGGAAGGCTAAGCAGTGGCTGCTCATAACCACAAATGACCACACTTACCACTTCCGTTAGCTCAGCCCATTTATGCTGCTTCCTTCACATACCACGGTCCATCCCGTTCACTCTCTGGAACACATCCTCCCGGCTCTTTTACTCGATATGGTACACTGGGCAAAAAGATCCTTTGGCAAGTGCCCACTACTCCAATTATTCTCTTGAGGGTCAACCAAAGAGACCAGTGGGTTTCCAAGCAGGGCATCAGCTTTCTATGGAGTGGAGCAACACGTTGTGCTATTTGCAGAGGTCATTTCCAGCATGTGCTGCTATTTGCATGTTTTAGCTGAGAGAGTAACAATAGCCTTTTAGTCTGTTGGGCTTCAGGGAGGAAACTACTGGACAATTCTGTGATAAATCTATTCTGAAGCCAGGGTTTCCTTTTCTTCTAGTAAAGGGATAGCCAACAACAATAAAGATTTTTCCAACCCA